AGTAAAGGTTCCTAATTCCTGCTTAACTAAAAAGATCATTAACATTAACAGCTTCTTTGATGAAACAGGGTTAACCCACTGTGCTGCCCACTCAGTCAATGACAGTGTAATCTGCATTCCTATTAAATACTACATCACTGTAAAGGCTATTAATAATAACAATATCAACACTACTCACAAAACCCAGACTGCCAGACATGAGGGACTCAGGTCACTCATGTCAATACATTTTTATCTGTAGAGGACTTCCTATTATTCACACTTTTTTCCAGACAAAGCTTAATATACACACACACACTCACTCACTCACACACACACACATCACACACATAGCTGCTGCATTTTCGTATTGTGCAAAAAAAAAAAAAAAAAGAAAAAGAAAAAAGAAAATATCTGTGGCATTCAGACTCGTCTGCCGTGAAACAAATCATCATAAGGACCGTTGGTTTCCAGTGAGCCCTGCTTGTACGTGCATGTGTACCTTTTGAATTCTCCTGTATTGTAATAGCTGAAGAAAAACTGACTTAACATAGAAATGCTATTTTAAAAGATGTATATTCAAGAAGCTAAGCTGTCTGGTACTGAAGAGGCACATGTAACCTGGCCTGTGCTGTGCTGTAAAGAAAGCCTTGTGATCGTTTTATTTCCTCCTTTCTGCTTCATGGTTCTACTTTCATCTCCTGTTTTAAGTGCAATATTCTCTTTATCTCTCTTTAAATGCTTAAAAAGGTAAAATAGAAAACAGGTTTATTGTTAAAAGGGGAAGTGTGGTGAAGACCAATAAAAATGTCATTTACTGAAGAAAAATGTCTCCCTCTTCTTGTTGTGTAATATCATTACATCACATGTATGTACCTCTAAAAACTGCTGCAAATTGTTAGCTTAATATATAGGTCACTGCTTTCAAGCCTTTTTAGTTTATAACCCTTTGTAGTCATGCAACACCTACTTGAAAAATCCTCCTCAGTTTGTCTGTCTATGTGCCGTTTGACCAAAGGGTGATGTCATACTGTAATAGTATTTAGAGGCCTGACCTAGCATTTCTAAAACAAGACCAATACGACAGCACCACTAGCAGCTTTAGCATGTTGACATTTGATATTTGCATGTGTGCGATCATAGACCAGAGTACAGAACAAATGTAAATGTCGACCTGATGATGGCGCTAGATAGAAGTCAGTGGATGACCAAAATTTCATTACTGTCCAACCAGTATTTGATATTTCACTCAAAATCACAAATGTGAACTTCATGGTGCCAAGGTCAGTAGGATTTATCCTCTGGGAACCATGAATGTCTGTACACAATTTAATGGCAAAGCTGTTGAGATATTTCAGACTAGACCAAAGTGGTGGACCGAGTGACAGGCTGACGTTGCCATAGAGCTGTGCTGTGTGATAGCATGGTTAAAAATAAATAAATAAATAAAATTAAAAATAAAATCAGAAAAATATAAGAAATTATTTCTCTTCTCTTCTTGTGAATCATCTCAAGACCCAACAGACTGATCTTCCCACCCATTGGGGGGTCCCGAACCACATGTTGGGAACCACTAATTGAGGCTTCGTAGACACCAGTTTTCCTCCTTCACAGCCTCAGAGTGTAACGATGATGAAATCCAGTTGGGGGTGAACCCAGACATGGGAACAGTGTGGGCTTTGTCTCGATTGTGTCAAACCCCTTTTTAAGAGTCTGAGAATCCACAGACGGACATGAGCCGTTTGTCATGCAAAACAAGCCGAACAGAGGCAGCAGTGATTTGTGGAGCATCAGCTCCAGGTTTTTGTTGTCAGATTGAGAAGCCCGGACACTGTTTGGTCTTTGTGAAGCTGATACTGTGCTGGAGGAAGAAGCGGGCTGACAATCAGGACAATCACCTCTGTGAGAAGCTGCTGAATGGATGCTGCAATGACATCACCTCCAGAGTCACATGATCAGGGAGGAGTGCAGCAGGAAAAACACATGGGACAGTTTCCCTTTTCTTCAGAGGTGGATTTTATGCTCCTTTATACCTCTAGTCATTCTACTAGTTACTTTGCCAATTCAAATTAACACAATAAAGCAGTTACAATTAGCCCAACTTTTATCAGCTGCAATGAAATGATAACATTAATGCATCCACAGTTCCACTGACATAGAAATCAAGTAAAATAAAATTTTGTTTACATTAAACTTGTGCAATATGGTGCATTGTTATAGATTTAACTACTCAACAGTACATAAAGTAGTATAAATGCTTCTTACACAGTAATGCCTCAGCATTAATTATCTAATGATACTTTAACATGCTACTCATAAAATAATAAACTCCTGCTGACAGAGTGATTTTGACTTATGATACTTTAAGCAGTTTGCTGATAAAGTTTGTGCTTTAACTACAGGAATATAGGACCTTCACTAGTAATAGAATATTTATATTATTATTAATACCTCTACATAGTTGATAAGTCATCACTAAAGGAATATGGACATATTCTACAAAAACTTTTTTTTAATAAAAGGTACCGTGTTAGCGATCGTCACTGACACTAGATGTGGCACTAGACCACCTGCATCTCAGACCAAAACAAACGCTTCCCCTCCCTTCAAGTTCTCAGTCAGCAAGGTGTTTCATAACAACCTCATAGCCCAGTGAAAGCGGCCATCAAACTCACTACAAGAAGCACAATTGAATAAAGTTACCCTGTGTACACCAGAGCCGACAAAATGAATTCAGAAACAGCCATTAACCTATGCTAGCATTGGCGTGATATGCTCCACAGCAGTGCCTAGCATTAAGCTAACTAGCGATAGCAACATTTGCCGAACACATTCATAGCATCCGTAACAGCAAGTTAGCTAACGGTGTCATGCTTTCTGTTGCCGTTCACTAATGAAAAGAGACATGTAACATTATGTAGCACTGAGTTACTTACACATGGAGGCGAAGAAACACCAGTTGTGAGTGAAGTTGGAGCTCTTTAGCAGCTGGGCAAATGGCTGGCCAAATGACACTGAGGGAGCTGGCAAAGACACAGAGCCGGTAAAAACTCGAAAAACTTTATGGATGTGTTGACGGTGCACCGGCCGGCTCTGGTCTTATTTCTTTCTTTGAAGGAGGCCTGAAAAAAAGTGGCTTCTTCAGTGGAGGAAATCCTGGAAGGTCGCTTTCACCTGAAGTGGGAAAGGCTTCATGAACTGTGTGCTGCATGAATCTCACCTGTGGGCGGTGCCTGTGTGTTTGTAAATGTGGGGAGGACCAATGGTTTAACAGGAAGGACTCACATGCACTAACATGCACCGCCCTATCCCTATAATAAAAAAATAAAAAAATAATTTAAAAAAATCTGATTTTTCAAATTAAACAAGTAAACAACATTATAAATCTGTCATACAATTTGATACCAATTTTCAGGATTTGACAGTTTGTAATACTCAGCTACAGTACGGATATATATTGGTCAGTACCGCAGTATTTGTACTCTTTACTCCACTACGTTTATCTGACAGCTGCAGTTACTGGTCACAGTGCACATTCAGATCTTCCATTCATCATAAACTCATAAAATCTCACCCTTCCCTTCTCGGCCCAGCTTGAACATCACTCTCACTGCACAGCACTGACCTTCACAGTGACAGCACACACACTGTGATACTGCTGACTCCAGGTGTCTGGACACATCTACCTGACTTCTGAATTAATTTACCTGCTGAGATCTGTGAATCACCAGGGAGAATTACATCCCTGTTGACTTCCTTTACTGCAGTGATTACCAGCCGATGTACCCCCACAGCCATGTTTTTCATTTTTCTTTTAGCAACAACTTAAAAGACCAGATCACCCCAGATGGACATTTTTCTCCAGAACATCAGGAAAAAAAAAACCCCCTATATTTGTGATACATGGTACAGCTGTGGGGCTCACACACAGTCAGCACAGGTGTGAAGAAAGCACATTGTGGGTCTAACCAAAGCCATTTTATCCGACAGGCTGAGATATCAGACATGAAATGTGAGAGCATTTCAGTTCACAAAGTAGTCAGGAGAGAGCGGCTGCACGGTCTTTATTGGATTGCTAACCAGTCTATTAGACGATTCATCCTCTCAATGATTAAAAGGTGGATCTCTGAGCAGGTTTCAAAAGGGTCAGTTCACCTAAATTACAAGAGAACATTTTATCAGCTCCAGCGGTATTGAGCCATATCATATACAATGATTTCAGTTTGATTTGTCCAGGTTTTGAGATCCATTTCTGAGACATCTGCCTTCACTCACAAACTATGGAGGTTAATGGAATCTCGTTAATTGTACTTTGAAAGAAAAAAAACCCGCAGTAATGTGTCTCTGTTATGTTGGACAATCTACAGAACATGATTTGAATTGTTTTCATTGGGACTATTCCTTTAAGAGTAACCTCACACAAGTCCTCCCAAGTGCTGCCGGACCCTGTGACACAAACTGGCTGAAAAATACACTCTTTCCTTATATACAATCTTTAGCATATAGAACAGCTGTAAAATGTATGATCTGAATTTGATCCATTCAATCCATTAAGAGTGGAGTCCCAAGTCTGGAAGAGCAGTACGAGTAAATTAAGCTGTGCCATTCATGTATCCATTCCCTGAAAATCTCGTCTTTGCTGACCTCTGGTGGTTCTGCATCTCACCTTGTAGCAGTGATGTACAGGTGTCCTCCAGGACACTGTGACATCACTTCGTCGGTTTGTTTACAGGTGCAACAGAGCACACTTCCCAACACAACCAGCAGTGATCAGTCAGAACACAATCAGACTGGTGTAATTTTTTTATCTGTACACACAGACAGGACAACAGGTCAGAGTTTCACCAACTCACAGTTGTGTTTTGCACCTCTACAGTACATTGCAATGTAACATGAAATCCCACTGATTACACACAGAATTGCACATCAGTGTACTCATCTACCTGAATTGCTTCTCAAGCATGTGTGCACCCTCTCCCCGTACAGACACAAACACACCTGCTACATTAATGCTTGCCACAATAAAAGCACATTGAATGTAAAATGCCCCTCCCGTTTGTTCAGTGATAAAATGAGAGATTAGCTTTCAGAATTTTCCCACATCATGAGGTGATTTTACAAAAAATATACATTAGCTATGGTACAATTAAATATCTAATGTGTGGCTATTAAAAATACCAGACATTTCTTTTCAAGATGCAATTTCAAAATAAATATTTTCTCTCTATTTTTTCCTATTGATTATATTAAATCTTCAATGAGGCTTAAGGACTTTGGCAGTAAGCAGTGCACACACGGTTTTACCTGGAGATTACTTACATTTTAAACTTAGACTTTTTACTGGCAGCAATGAAGATTCATTCATTCAGCTTTTGTTTTCTTAAATCACCAATGCAGGTACTGAACATGTAGCACCACAGAAGCTCAGCAAAAGATAGACTCTGGCGTATGATAAAGAACAGAAGAGCTACTGATTGTATTTTCTGTCAGTTTTTCTGTCGTGTGCTGCAAGTCATTTCCTGCGTTTCTCATAAAAGCGGCGGGTCTATACGTCACTGTATCCTGTAACAAGCATGGAAAACAGGAAAGCTTTTGCTCATATAGCAATGATAAGGTGTCGCCGCCCCAGCGCCAGGAAACATGCCCTGATACCCGTCACTTAACTGTGATAGATGATATGAAAATTGGTAATACAAAGGCTAAAACTTCAGCACTGCAGCTGACCAAGAGTAAGGGCTGAAGGTAAGAAAGATGAGAGACAGAAAAGAACACAATTTAAAGCCCCATTAATCAATATCTTTATGGTTCTAATGAATAAACTGAACATGTGAAAACCCAAACAGAATTACCAGCAACTCCAACTATCTATGTAGCTTTTTTAGCATCTTTTAGCTCTATTGGTTTTACAGCACATTTCATGTCTGGTTAAGACTCAATATTCTCCTCTACCCCTGTTAAATCCACTGTGCACTACCTGCCCGGCACAAAATGGTAGACAGACAATGTTAGCAACGAGCTGGTGAATTTAGTGAAACATCCAGCAGCAGCTAAAATGGCAGATATTTTTCTCAGGAGTTGGTGGGGAGCGGAGATTGGACTTACATTCATCAGGTGGACACAATTATCACTCCAGTAGGATGATAATGTTGCCCAGAATCTGCTAACTACTTTATAAGTTGGTAAAATGTCAGGGCTGTGGAACTCTTAGTTTGTTTTGGAGATTTCCTGCCCCATAGTGGCCAAATATTGATTAATGCAGCTTTAAGGAAAGGGCTTGTGCAACAGCATATAAGCAACAGTAACAAGAGAGTTGTTTAATTTAAACTTAACAATTAACCCTTCACCTTGCAACAAGTGGCTTCCTACATCTTTACAGATAGATGGACTGAACCAGTGGACTGTCAGAGGAGGCTCAGCGGTGTCACTGGTGTGTCACCAGTGTGCTTTTTCAAAGGCAACAAACAGCACGTATGGCATCATCATATGATTCTCCAACACAGGGCCTAGTGTGAGGATCAGCTGCCTGTAATTACTCAACACACAGTCATCAAGCTGGAGGAGAGGGGAGGTCTGATTGGCTGTAGCTCAGTACAATGCCTCACTGCTCATGATTGACAACAAAGATGATGATGCCTGTAAAGTTACAGGTGTAACCACAGTAGTTTCTGACAGAGCTGTTGTTCTGTAGTTTCCATGCCCTATGGCTCTGCTGTGTGAGTCGCTCCAACCTCCAGAGGCGTCTCAGGATGGGGGAGGCTTTCTGGACTGTCCATCCATAACTCCAAGGACTCCTGGGTGTCGAAGAACTCGTCAGGTCCCTCTGGAGACTGAGGCGTCTGAGAGCTAGAGCCTGCCTCGCTGCTGCTCTCTCTGAGCTCCAGCAGCACAGGCAGAGAGCCTGGGAGGCAGTAACCCTCCATCCGACCCAGAGCGAGCTCAGCTAATGCAGAGCAGGGCGGCCTCAGGCCAGGATCTGAAATTGGAAGATCCACAGCAGCAGAGGCCACCTCTGTCCCCTCCTGCATGTGTTCAGGATTATCTGGCTGGTGACCAGTAACATCATCTTCCTCTGGTGAGTTATTTGGAGTCAGAGGGACCTCAGTTGGGTTTAAAACTGCAGGGCAAGCTAGGTCGAGGATTTGTGATCCAGTGGCAGGCGCTGGCTGAGAGGAAATGTTTTGAGAGGAGTGAGTTTCCTCACTGCTCTGAGGGGTGAGGGAGATCTTATCGCTGAAACTGAAGCGTGGGGAAGTGTCAGCTGTGGTGGGAGAAGACGGCCCAGCACTGGACACTGTGCTGGATGGACCGCTGCTGTCTGCAGAGACAGAAAACAAACCCATAGAAGCACTTTGAGAGGAAATAAGAATATAGAACTAAATAGAAAAAAAAGACACAAAGATGGATCAATTAATGAAGTTTCATTTGCAAAAATCAAAAAAAAAGTGGTGTGTGTGTGTGTTGGTTCTCTGGGTTCTGCAGATGACAGACAGCAGGACCAGAGACTAAACTGTGAAGTCATTTTAAAACAGGCTGTAATGGACAACTTGTCTGCCATAAATAACCCACAGACTTCTGAAACTGAGACAGCCGAGGGAGGCCAACCTAGAAACGTCAAATCTTGGTGTGAACGAGGAGCTGCTGTGATACTCACACCAAGGAGGTCTGTCAGAACGAGATCTGAGAGAGATGGAAGAAGAGAGGACTCTCTGAGGGATGTACGAGTCCACTGATGGCTGGTTGTGTGTGTCAAACATGGCTGACAGAGCTGCAGGGATTAAAAAAAAAGAGCACAGGTCAAGTCAAGTGGTGATGCTTGTGATGTTTATAAATAATAACATGAAATCTGGGTTTGTTTCTGACCTCTGGTAGTCCTGGTATGTGGGTCCCCTGCACTCTCGCACACTCCGGTGAGGAACTCGTTGACCTGTTTTAGTGACAGCGAGTTATGCAGCGTTTCCAGAGGATAGATGGAGGGCACCATGGAGCAGCCTTCAAAGCCTGTGGCAGAGGAGAGACATGATGCCCGCAGGCACATCAGCCTTCAGTTAGACCAGGCAGTCAGAAGAGGAGCAGGCAGAACCACTTCAGCTGACACCTGACACCACCGCACCAATGCCACCCATAAACTACACCTCAACACGGCGCTCTGAAATCCTGCTCCTGTTTCTGATTGAGACCTAACCCGCTGTCAACTCCTGCCAGCCTCAACGGTTTGTTTCCACGCAGGCAAGTTGCAAAAACCATGCTGAACGCCAAAACAACATGATACCATATCAAACTGTAACGAGTCTACGGATCCCGAAAAGTCTGACTCCATTTGCGAAAGCAAGCAGATCTAAAAAATAAATAAATAAATAAATAAATAAACTAAAAAAAAAAACCGTAATGTCTGCCTTTCTGGTCAGACCCAACACACACAGGCTGCAGCTCTAACAGCAGCACACAGCGGTCAAAGCCGTCCAGACTGCAGCTCAGGTCCAGCAAACGTTATCAGTTCATCCACTGTTAGTTTCATAACCAAGCCGCATTTCACCAGAGCCGTTCACAATCACAAAGCGTCAAACCACAGCTTGCCTCGACTGTTGAAAACCCCAACAGAGGATGTTTTTACAGTGTTCTTCTGCACTGGGTGCGAGTACGCCACGTGTACAGCAAACAAGCAGGAATCACATGCTGGTTAAGGTCAGGAAGGAGGGAAACTGAACTGGCATTCAAACTGAACTCAAACACAGCAGCTGATTCCAAATGCAGTTGAATGCAATGTGGATTAATACCAGAGTCTATGTCTGTATGAAATACAGGTGTCGGCTAGTGATGACATGTTGTCTGCTTAAAGCTGGAAAAAATCATTCATCTTTAGCCGAGACATCTTGACGCCACGGCAACCTGTTTGTGTTGCTTAAGCATGTAAATATTCATGTCACAACCCACTGCAAATATGACACTATATGCAATTATGTTGATGTTTGAACAGTGTGAGGAGAAATGTGCAGATTATGTATGTGTCCATTTCACTTCTGATGTATACCATCAATAGATGTGCGTATACCTGAGTTTTATTGTCTTATTTCAAATGCACAAAACCTCTCAATGTCGTCTAAACACAAGCAGTTGTACAAGAATTTTGCCTGAACAGAATACCGTCTAAAAGTAGAAAGACTTCTTGATTTAGATCAGGCTATGAGTCTGACTGAATGCATGGCGAATGCTTTTGATACCTGGATGTTTGATACTTGTTTCTACAGACACTTTTCAGTCTGCACTCAAAACAATACTGAGGTTTGAAGCCCAACCCAGACTATGTGTGACGAAAAGGACAATGAATCTCAGTTTTTTGCTGCTGTGTGCCAGATGTCGGCTTTGTGATCACTGCAGTATGTCGGTGAGTGTGAATACTCATTTTCTTTATTACTTGTACTTTGTTGTTTTGTTTAACTGATTATTGTTTGTTTCTTTTGTGATCATTATATTTCCTGCCAAGATATCTAAAGGGCCTCAAACCCTAAAAATGAAACCGTGGTCTGTTGTATTAGAAACGATTCAAGCACTGTATTTATAAAATACCACAGAAGTAAAGTGACATGTTTCTTTATAAAAACAAAAAGATCTAATTTGCCAGTAACAATTAAATTTTGGATTAGCGATGAAACAATAGATCTATTTTGATCATTGATTAATTGAAGGAATTTTTTGAGACTTAGAAATTTCCTGATTCCATCTGTTCAAATGGGAATATTCACTAGTTTACTTAGTTTACTGTGATTGTAAACAGAATATCTTTGGGTTTGGACTATTGGTCAGACAAAACAAAACATCTGAAGATGTCAGCTTTGGCCCTGGAAAACTGTCACTGTGATTTTTACTTATCTTCTTGCATTTTACCAACCAAACAATTCGTTGAGAAAATAAGAGATTACACGATAATTATTGTATGTAAGGACTAATAATTAGTTACAGCTCTACTTTGATATATTTCATAAGTTCCAAGAATCTATGATCCTTCAAAAGAAAAAAAATTGAATTACAGACTCAGAGTTTACAGATTAAAGGGCGGAAAAGCAACTGATACTGCAGAGGGGAAGGATAAAAGTTGCTTATAGCTGCATAAATGTCCCAAAAATCCCAAACAGCTCACACGACTCCAGCTTGCAATCTGCATAACCACAGAGACAGGCAAGCATGCAGAGACATCAAGAGGCAAAGCATGAGAGTCAACCACAGAACAAGCACAGTCCCAACTAAACCGTGAGCAGTGGTTGGACAGGGCGTGAGGCTGGGGGTATGGAGGGCGGGGCCAGGGGCTGACCGTAGAGGTACTCTAGGGGGTCCTGGCCGGAGATGAGCCAGTTTCGGAAGAGGCGGAGGTGGTAGGAGCACTGGTGGAGGTGGTGGGCCAGCGCCCCGTCCAGAGAGAGGTGGCGGCCCAGGCTGAGGTCGGTGGAGAAACGCCTCAACAACTGGGCCACATGGTGCTCCTCCAAGGGCTCTGAGGAAGAAGAGGGAGAGCAAGGAAGGACAGCGCAGTGGAGGAGGAAGAGGAGGAGGAGGAGCAGTACAAAAGACATGAAATGATAGGATATAAGCTAGCAAGAGGGGATAGAGAGAAGGACTGAAGTATGATACAGAGGAGAGCTTGGAGAAAAAGGGAAGGATACAGCAAAGAGGAAAGAGGAGGGAGGAGAAGTGTAGTGTGTGTGTGTGTGTGTGTGTGTGTGTGTGTGTGTGTGTATGAAGGTCGTTCATTGTTGGAAATGAAAGAGGCAGCCAACAGCTAATCCTGGCTGCCAAACAGCCAAAGATCAGAAAAAGCAGCAAATCATCTCAAGCAACTTTCTGTGATGAGAAATCATCTCGCACTTCAGCAAAGCTCAGAACACAAAAAAACATCATGTTGCTCCTCTGCAGTATCTCAACATTTCTTTAACAATCCATCAACTATCCAAAATAACATTGATCCAATTCATAATGACAACTCACAAAGGAGCAAGTGTGGTACAGGACATTTACAGGAAGCAGTATAACCCAAAATTAAGAACAGTCTCGCAGCCACCTCTCCACAGAAACACAGCAGAAGCAGATAAATCATGTGCAGATAAATCTTGTGTCCACATTCACTAACAATCTGGACCACTGATGTCAACGTATTACGCTGTTTACACAAAGCTGCAGCTGGACATTTGGTGCAACACAAAACTGAATCAATGGGGGCCGTCGTACCTGTCGCAGTGCACCAGAGAGGTGGAGCCACTGCTATGGTGGATGTGTCATCTTGTGTTCCTGTGGTGGATGATATATGTAAGAGAAAAACATACCAATATAGTGTGGAAGTTCATGCTATCATCTTAACAGGAAGTGTTCATCTTGTGGGGTAATTTGAATTTTCTAAACGTGTGCTGAGTGAAATCTGACTGCCGCACGCACACCTCACAGCCGTGGCTGATAGATCGACTCTCATAGAAACTTGCCACCAAAACACCTGGTGAACGCTGAATCAACTTTTACAGCAGTGATTAAGAAAAAAAGACCAAAAAGACAAATCTCTTCATATGCAGACGAAACGATTCAAATTTGCTCTTCAACCCAAAAGCAAAGATGTTAGAAGATTTACAAAAGCTGACTGACCACTACTCGTCTCCTTAATCCATTTACACCGGCCGCTTTTTTACCAGATAGAGTAGAAGGACAGAAACGTAACGCCTGCTGCTACAATCATGCCTCAATGTCTATTCGTCTCAAAAAAAATAAATAAAAAAAATAGCAAAGTAGGGACATTCACTTGTGGCCGCAAACAGTCATTATACTTCATCATTAATAATTGAATATTTTCCCCTTTTCAAATCTTGAACACACTGAACAACAGCACTGACAACATTGAAAAAGCATGTGTGTGCGCTTATGAATTAAAACAAAACTGACCGATGTTTCTTTCATGACAGACACAGGAGATGGGATGAGCAATGCTTTAACCCTTCCCAAGTTTGTCAGTACGAGCTGATCCTGGTTCAGTCAGCTGTGATGTAACAGTATTCATCCTTTAATCCACATAACAAAAGGCAGCCCATATAAAAACAAAATAATAGTAATTACAGGTGAACATGACCGAGGGAGAGTCATGAAGTCAGAGGAAACAGGAGAAGGGTTAAACATTCATGTGCTGTTGGTGGCGTTTTAACAATGAGCTCAATTCACATCCTCTACAATGATGGCAACAGGTGTGTGCTTTAGGTAATTACTTTGAACACATGCACACAAGCACGCACGCACACACACACACACGCACACACACATCTATCCACTGGAAAAAAAAAACAAAAACTGAATTATTGGGTAATGGTGACCAATTTACAAACTGTATGCAGGATGTTAAACAGGGTTCCCACCCTTGGCTCAGTACACAGATCCATTGTAAGACTCTTTACCTTGTTCTGCATTTTTTTGACCACGACAACACTGAGGGAGGGATGAAACTTTAAAGGTTTAAAAAGGGAATGATGAATCTGTTTGCTATCCCGCTCCAAAAAGAGACAGTGAGGTGTATGTGACACAGGGAGGATTACTCAGACTGTGAAAACAATTGTATAATCTTGTAATGTAACAAAAAGACACTACAGAGTTATGGATATGTGGGATCCAGTGTCTTTGCAGCTTGATGGATTAAGCAGCAGGATCTCTCAGCCTCTGCAGCTTCACTTCTGAACCTCCTTTGTCTTTTCCAAGTCTCCAAACTTTTTGGATGTGCAACAGTTAATTAAAGCACCCCTGTAATAAATCAGGGTTTTTGTTATGAAAAATCTTTGATGTTGACCTTGACAAATGAGTTTTCAACTGGCCCTGTACCGTTATCTGATCTCTGACTTTAAACAGAAAAACACCACCATTCAAGCAGAGGCCAAAAGCCAAAAAGCATTGGTCTCAGAATAAAGTTCTTCTTTAGACTTAAAGTGTTTTGACGTCTCAACACCATTGCCCTTCTCCATGCACCTTGGAAAAAGTTCTGGCTGTGCCAGAAACGCCTATTCTGCATGAACATTACAAGGAGACGCAAAGCCCAGAGTCATGACTTGATTACTGACCCAACTCTCCTCTACGGGACCAGAACAGGGATTTTTTTCAATGTTCAGTCAGACAAATGTTGAATATTATTAACTAACAAGTGAGTTAGCTAAGCTGTAATCAGTGTCTTTTGATAAAAGTGGAGGTTGGGTCACACATATATCCCCGACAAAGAAGTCTGCTTCCCCCTGGAGAAATTGGGTTTCTCTAACCCCCCACTGCAGCTGAGAAACAAGGTTTATCATTTACATGATGTTCAAGAAATCAGACTACAGCAGAAAGCTAAATGTAACCTGAACACTTAAAGTGGCAATCTTGAAGATTTTCATTTAAATAAACGTCTGTTAAGACAAGATCTATCACCCAATGAGGTAACACAACGGTGAATAAGCCTTTGGCCGACTGATGAAAGTATTGCAATATTTATATATTTGCAGTATTATGAACTGGGTGTCTGTGGCGACATTCCCAGAAAAGAAATGCTATATTAAGTTGCTGCTAAATGCAAAATGAATATTTCCTAATGCTGCAGCTTCACATTAAAAGCATTTAGCTTAGCACTTAACTACTATCATACTTAAAATGTGTCTACAAAACAAGGTACAAATGACAGTAATTTTCAGCATGTTTCTAACAGCAGATCAGTTTGAAAAATTGCAGGGAGTAATGGAAGAGGAAGGAGCCACAGTGATCTGTGTGATGAAGAGCTGCAGGCGACAGGCTGCACACCAACTTCTCAGCCAAGTAACCAACTCCTCTCAATGTACCTGCTGTTTGCAGACTCATGCTGTCTGCAGCATAAAATCAAGTCACAGAATGATGGAAAAAGGCTGATTATTGACCAACTTCTTCATCAAAATGACAACAGTTTATTCTGCTGCCCCTGAATTCTATGACCTGTAGTATTAAGCATTTGCTGTTACCACCAGTAACTACAGGTATCGGCAAATCAACCAGGACTGAAATCTTCGAGAGCCACTTTAAGTGCATGTAAACGTCCTCATTGACGCTAGGCTTGTGTCATCATCCTACCAACTGCAGGAAATACAAACGGAAGTAAACCAGTGCTGAGTCTCTGATCTAAACTGGACATTAATGAACTGCCAAACACTAAGCAATACTATGCAATGTATCACAGTGGCAACGGTCAATGTAAGTTTTGCAGTGAATGTCTATGAAATGTTGACAATTAATAATCCCGAGGTGTAAAAGACACAAAATCACTTCAAATTGGAAATAATTCCATGCTGATGTCTTGTGTTTTTCCTGTCAGGTATAAGCTGTGTAAAGATGGCTATCTTCTGTGCTTCACTACTATGAGGGATTTGTAAAATTTACTGACATTCCCTGTCTCCAAATTTCTCGATATTTCACAAATTTAATGACCAGTGGGAACCCTGGTTAGAAAGAGAATGTCAGGTAGTGTTAGAAAAGTAAGAATCCAAAGCGTATGGGTACACAAAAAAAATTAAAACCATTAGAAAAAAAATAACGGAAACCTGGAATGCTGGAGGGCCATGTGAAAAAAAAATCCAAGGTCAAAAAACAAAAGTTTGAAGACATGCAAGACAAAGGGAGGTGAAGTGGAAAAATACTTGAAAGAAGCAGACGTACCATTAGTCGGATGCTTTGCAAACGACACAGAAAATCGTTTTACTGCCGGCATAGACAACAACTCTGAGGAAATAAAAAAAAAAAAAAAATTCACTAGTGTTACTATGAGCCACAGTAACTTGTATATCATGTTTTATCATTTCCCTGTTCTTTGCTAATGTGGACGCAGTTGTTGAAAGATCAACCAACAGCTTCTATACAAATGGGTGGTTTAAAAATCTGAGCTATCTGACCGTTTGAAGATGTTTGAAGGTGACTGTGGGCCAACACATAGATGGAACATCTTCTGATGACAAAGTGAGATGAAATGATTTTAACTGAGGAGGTGAAGAGGACAAACCAAAAACCTCCAAAAAAATAAGCCCAATATTAAGGTCTGATTCTTTCTTTCCTTTCCTGTCTTCAAGTCTAACAAAAAGCCCACTGAACAGTTAAATGCTGTTCTGACTCGTGGTGTGTTCTGTGGCACAAAGAGAACTATGAAAAACACCGACTGGTGAACCTGGCCAGGATTAAGAAGCTTTAGCATGGAGGAAATAAATATGAATATGAAATATGAAACCAAGACTACACTCGGAGGAGCATGCACTGAGGCATTACAACTGGGGCATTCTGACTGCATCGAGACTACAGTGCTTCCTTTGATTCTCGAAAATTAGGTGTAACAAGATGGATGACAAAGACCAACAGCGGGGCAACATGTGAGACAACCGGGAGGATGGAGGCTGAGAGGAGACAAGAGTGTGTATGATACCACACTGACACCTACTGGACGACATGACACACATTAAATTCAGCTACACAATCATGGCCCAAGCATGGTGGCCATGTTTTGATGCGTCATTAAGCCCTGAATTCAATATTGACCACTTACTATTTCTTTTCCCCATAAAATATTATTCAAAAAAAAAAAAAAAGGTATGAATAATATTTGTTACAGCCATAGCTTCCCAACTCAAATCGGCAGAGGGCTAATGTACCCAATAAAAAAAAAAAAAAAAATTAAAAATTAAAAAGTGCAAAAAAGTGGTGAATGTGAATATAAAATAGCTGTATGACTTCTGCTGAGTTGTAATTTGTTTAAATCAGATTATCAAGTTTCTCTAAATATGAGAGAACTGGAAACTGAACAGACTGAATAAGAAGTCAGAGCAGCCACGGACCATGCAAAAAACAACAACAAAAAAAAAAAAACATGGGCAGATCATGATTTTAAGAATGAGGGGCAGTTAACGGACACGCACTGATGAACAGTTGCTTCATACATGCAGCAGCTCTCAAAAAAAAAAAAAACACTATCATAGGTATACTGATCAGAATGAAAAAATATAAAGCTTCTACTAACAAACACTAACACTAACAAACAAACTCAGTGCTGACTGATATTAAACATGGTATATATTCTGTTTGGACGTTTCAACTGGGCATGAGGCAGCATGTACACAAACTGCTAAAGGAAAAACACCAATTTTACTCAAAGTGGTGTGGAGGAAAAAAATGATGGAAAAATCCAGTGGTTTTGGTGACTAGAATGAATATGGAGTCTAAAAATACAGAAATTATTTTTTAAAAATGGTGCTACATTTCTATAATAATATACATGTATGAACATACATGATGTTTGTATAGCACATATTCCTCTCGTCTGAATATGTTCTATTGCTGCTATTTTGGACCTCATCTACCTACTGTTATCAACACTTTCATACTAAACATATCAGTGCACATTTCTACTTCATATTTTCAGGTGCTTTTCAGTTTCCCCACAGGGCTCTGCTCATCATGTCAAGCTAACAGTAGTTTATATTTTAGGACTGAGGAGATGTGTAAGACACTGATCTGCTGTTGCCCTGTGCAGGTTTGTGAAGGAGCGCGGTCTCAAACACGTACCGTCTTTGTAGGACAGACTGCCGGTGGAGAATTTTTTGCGGTGTGCGCGTGCGTAGTCCTGCAGGTTAGGGGCGCTAGAAGACCCACCTAGGACAGTGGTGCTGAAGAGCCCGGCGCACTGAGAGCCTGCGAGGGGGGGCGGGGGGGTTAGTCACCACTACATAACATGCTGTTACTCAAACAACTGACCAGACAGAAACTGAGAAAGAGAGAAAAACAGAAAAAGAGACAGACAGACCCAGAAGAGACCATGCACTTCACACCTCTCTCTCTCTCTCTCTCTACACTCCCTACAGCAGGCTGGAGAACGTTTTTAAAGTTTAACCACTATGTCAGGCTTTGGAGCTATAAGGAAAAATCCACCCTGAAATGGTTTCACAGTTTTTCTCATCAATGTGTGACACATTCAGTGTATTAAGTATCCACTTCCCCTCTTCCTCTTCCCTTTGATCTTACTTTTCAACATTAGTGTGTCCAAACACAGAGCGCACAGGAGAAGCACAGAGAGAGAAAACAGTCACAGGAAAAAGTAACAAAATGCAATCAGTCTTGGAGACTTTTCTCTGATGACTTTCTGCAAGTATGACTGTTGAAGGCAAAATGGCGGCTTCAAAGTCAAGAATGATGCACTTTCATTCTGAGGGACTGACGCCAAAACCTGATGCTTATCTCTGATGTTTTAGACCGCTGACACTTCGCCACTGTAATCATCCCACGAGAGCAAACAAAACTGACAGAGATGTGCAACTTGGGGTGGATTTTTCTTTTTACAGCCACTAGATCAGGGCTTAACAGCTGCAGACTCAGTCACTCCATGAGGCTTACGCTGAAGGGGGAAAGGATTGAGGCTTACTGCGATGGAAAGAGGAGGCAGTGGAAATGTTAATCTGTGTGGACCTGCATCAAGGTTAACACTTCAACTCTGAACAGAATTTAAAGCCTCAGTAGAGTATCTGAACAATGACACAAATATTTCACGATTTTCATCTCATTTAGCTCAGGAACTGAAAAAAAATCTCACAATTGATTTACTTTATTAAAAACAACCACTGTGGAGACCATTTTAAAAACATTGCGCTCATCTCCTATACAGAGATTCTGAATTACATCCACTCAAAACTGGAACATTTTAAGTAAAATGTTTCTGAAGACTGATTTAGGTCCCAAAACAGGCATAAAATGTAGCCACCATTTTAAACTAAACTAAAAATATTTCTTGAAAAACAAGCAAATACATGAACTGAAACATTTACATCTTTGTCTGAAGAAACGATGTAAAGACCAGCTGCCTGCATGCATTTCCCAGTACTCTGCAAACAGCCCTCATGGTGTATTATTTCCATTGATGATGTCCTCCCAGATCAAAAGTCATCTAATGAAATCTGCACCCATCCTTCCCACTCTGAGCCATTTCACACTGTCATCTATACACACAGTTGCCACGGCAACAGGGCATTATGACACCTACCTAATCCACTTTGTTTCATCTCTGGGGACTGACGTGAGCAGAACGAGAAGAGGCGATAACTGCCTACTTTGGAAGATGATGTCTCCGACAGGACCTGGTAGACACACACACACACACACGCACACACACATGCACACACATACACACACACACGAGTCAAACAGTGGCAGCAGGGAAACTTGAGCGTATTTGATATCATAAACCAGCCTCCACTGATGGCTGATAGTTTGCTGAGTGAAATATGACCTTGGAAAACAGGAGAGGCCAAAACCACAGAGGAGAGGATCTAGGTTGTAAAATACACCGATTATATAAGCAACTGAAAAAATACACTGTCTCTGTTCAGGTTATTTGCTAAACAGTAGTATTATTAAAGTATTGTAATGGACAATACTGTAACTGTGCGAGTCCACAATGAAAGAAGCTTTGAAACTGATTTCAGAAACAATATTAGGTGTATTACTCTGACTCTCACCTCCATTGATCCAGTCTTATGATTGCGTATGAGCGGGGACCTCCTCTGAATAGTGATTGGCTCAGACAATGGCACAGCACGGTCCGTCTCGTCACGTGAGAGGTCCTCCAGGCTGCCGGGGTCGGGCTGTTTCTGCCCGTTCTGAATGAGAACAGAAAGAGAGAATATTCATGCTGCCATCTGCAGAATGATGACACTGTGAAAATGTTTGGATGTGGTTATACCTGTCGTGCCACCTCTGCAGAAGCGGGCCGGAAACCAAAGCCGGTAGGTGCATTCTCCTCCTCCTCGACGCCTTTGACCCCCGGGCTGAAGTGAAGCTCCACGTGGAAGCGTTCCTCAGAGGTCAGGTCCTTCAGGGAGGACAACAGCAGGTGTTAAAGATATTATTTTGAAAATTTTCTATACCATCTTCAATATGACACTGACAGTGCATTCCGACCCCTTGACTTTAACAGTTTGTTATGTTGCAACCTTATGCAAAATTTATTATTTCCTCTTATCAATCAACAATACCCCATAATGATAATACAAAAATATAATCTTAGAAATATTTTACAAATTTATTAAAAAGGGAAAAACTGAAATGAATGATATATTTTTCAATACTTCAAACTCTGGAAAATAAATCTGCTCTCAATCGTTGAGATTCTGCTTAAACAAAAGAAAATCACAAAAGGATTGAAGTTCAATAATAATAACAGGCACATGTATTCAGCATGTAATTAAAAACAATAAGATTATCCCTACAGAGGGAACTTGTTAAGCCAGAATGAAGGTTATATTATATGGTTATTTTTCCTTCATTGAACCTCTAATTTACACACCAATGAATGAGTCCTCTTGTTGTCAAGTTTATACTTCAAAAACAACAAATGTATCTACACACAGGTAAACGGTCAGACAGACAGGTAATACCTGGATGATACAATGTCATGTAGCACATGTGGCAGGTGGCTGTAAATGACAAAAAAACTAAACAAATAAACAAGAAACACTACCTTATTGTTGTCCTCATACAGCATGATGACAATCTGAGTCATGTAGTTGAGCTCAGAGACGGCACTGAGGTAATCCATGGCACGCTTCCACTGCTGGTCCTTCTCCTCCTGTCACACACACACACACACACACACACACACACAGACACACACACACACACACACACACACACACACACACACACACACACACACACACAGACACACAGACACACACACACACACACACACACACACACAGAACATCAGCTTCAACGTTTACCCCAATCTCAGAAACATTCAAAGTTCTATAGGACTGATGTTTGGTTCCTTACATCGAGCAAGCCTCCATAGCGGAAAATGCTGAGCAGTGAGTGGACGTGACTCTCACTGGTGAAATATAAACGTGTCCTGACATGGCGCCCTGGAGACATCACTCCACGAGAGTACCTGTGAACATGCCATTTGTGTCAAATCAGTTTCAAAATTTTAAATTTGCTTCAAAATATTCCCCACACACTTTGCATCATGTCTTTCTATGCAGACGGCCTTGTAGTAAATCAAATGTACTCTTGGAAATCTGAATCCCAGACTCACAGAGGATGTAGTTTGTTGACAGACTCGTCCTCATGGGTCCTCTGCAGGTCAAGCTGAATCTTTCTGACCAGTGGGAGGCAGTAGGCGTATGCTATGTCCAATTTCTCCACTTTATTTATGCCGTATTCCTGCAAACACACACAAAATTGATCAAAAATGCTCCACAACTGCTGAACTGGTAATACCTCTGACATTAATGTTTTGTTTCACAGAAAATGGAAACTGTTAATTGTTTTAAAGAAGTTTTATCCACGAGGTGAATCTATGACAAAATCACATTTTTTATTTTTCACTAAACAACAAAATCACAGTTATTATTAAATATAAAATTAGGTGATATTCACAAACATTTTATGGTGTTTTGCACTTAAATGTATGTTTTGTTTTTTGCCTTTTATATGTGAATAGTTTTAAAATAAAATTCTTTTTTTTTTGTCCTGAATTAAATTAAGCACCAGTTTTAAATTTGATAACTGTGCACCCTGGTTATCTAAGCTCTTTGTTATAGAAAAACAAAAACACAAAAGCTCAAGAAAATGCTTCTTTGCAGCAATCCAGAGGTCACACCCCTGTCCTTCTCTGCCCTCCACTTCATCCTCCTCTCTCTCACCTGTGGGATGACGATGTCAGCCAAAGCTCGAGACAGTCTGAACAGCTCCAGTGTGTCCTCCAGGCCTAGAGTAGCGTTGTGGATGACATCATACTTCACACAATCATAAATGTCAGGTATTTTACTGATGTCGTAGCGGCCGTTCTTCATGCGGAAGTCTCTCTCAAGTTTGGACCAGCGCTGCAGCATCAGCTCCAGTGTCTCACTGTGGTATAGCTGCAGGTCTGAGGAGGAGACAGAGAGTTTAAGAACAGTTTAAGATCAATCAAAGGTGATTTGATTTTGATAGAAATTTGTTCCAGTAATTTTGTTGCTTTGAGCTAAATGCTAATGTCAGCATTGGTGTTGCAGAAATTGTTTATTAGCACCCAACACACAGTACAGCTGAGGCTGATGGGAAGGTCTTTAGTTTTGCAGACATTTAAAAAGTTTTGACGTGACATTGGCGCCAGATGAAAAGTCAGAGGATCATCAAAGTTACAATTCATCCTGAGGTGGGTATGATTGTCTGTATCAAATATCATGACAATCAATCCAGTCATTTTGGATTGTTTGTCATTGCAATGAGCTCACAGTGAAAATGTGGTGTACCAAAAATAAAAAGCTGAAAGCCTTGACATCCTTCTCGGGCTGACAGAGGAGTTTGCTCACCAGCTGACTTGGGGTCCTCCATTCTTTTGCGGATCTGTGAGGTGAGGCTCTGGATGAGGGCATAAACCTGGTCACATGTGGCCACTGGGTTCTGGACTATCTTCATTGAATTCACCAGAGAGGCACTAGAGGTCGGGGCCAGCTGTCACACAAAGAAAAAGGAAGAATGACAAAGTACTTACATAAAGAAGGTCCTTTAGGTATAACAAATGAATTCTGACTACTTTCACATTTCAAAGACCCCAAAAGCCCCAGGCTGCTAAACTGCACAAATCTGTGTGACTGTGACAGCAAAATGAAGACATATAATTAATGTGAAAACTGTTAGCTCAAGAAATAAAATCCCTTCTGCTTTCACTACGACAGGTTAGTAATCCTCTGAATGATCAAAAGGACATGTGGGCAGACAATTAGGTACCCTGGTTGAAAAGTTACCACCTGTCTCTACCTATCATCATCCAAGTCTGTGGGAAACATTTTGAAAAAAAAAAAACACATTGTTTAATTTCATAGGTTGAGTAGAGAAGTGAGAATAGATTACTATTTAAAAACAGTTAGGGAGGAGCAGCCCTTGTGGTTAAATTCTGTACCTGCAAACAAACATGTATGCAGCTAAGTATAACCACAAGACAGGACTTACTGCACTGTGAGCAGCTCCACTTATGCAGTTAAGGGATGAGGGCCTCAACTGCACAGTCACTGTAGCTAGAGTTACTGCAGTCAGCTGGGGATTTGAACCAAATATAGTTATCAAGAGAAATTAGTTTTTATCATCTATCAGGCTGGTGTGTTCTTATTTCTTGCAGTCTCCCAGGTAAAACTTTAACTACTCATTAAAAAAAGCTAATCTCAATCCCTCATCATGAACTACAGACTGATCTCTCAGCTGCAGTCTGTAAATAATTGCACTGATCCAACGGTTCGCAGCCAGACTCTTGAAAAACCAGCTACCAAACAGGTCATGACACATGATGCAAGACTTCACGTGTGCAGAGAAGGTGCCCAAAGGTCTTCTGATTTACAAAAGTGCTTCTCAGTGTTGTCCTCCTCCTTCCACCAGGCCCTCACAGAACATAAAACTGTTGAGGCTCAGTGGTAAACACATTTAGCTAATCACCCTATCGTAGTCCTCGTCAGTGAAGTCCCTGTCCTTCTGCAGAATCTCGTGGAGCCTGGCCTTGACACGGTGCTGGCAGCTGCTCAGCGAATCGCTGTCGTTGTCCAGCAGCCCGTTCATGTTGGCACTCTTCACCATCTGCACCAGGATGGGTGTCAGCTCGCCCTCCAGAGCCAGCAAACCCTGCTCACAGAGACACACATGCATTTGTGGTAAACTGTGCAACATTTTTGATGCAAAGTCAACAGTGTGACCAATACAATGAAATCTTACAAATGACGACTAACATGAGTGAGTTTTATAGGATGAAGGACACAAAATAACAGACCTTGACTAACTGTGATCTGAGAGCAACAAACTAAAAATGTATTCTTTCACTTTAAGTTTGTATGGAGCTCTTAGAAACAAACAGTTGCATAACGAGGTTGAAAAACATGCTTTTGTTTCAGCTTCAAACTCTACTCTCTGGGCAGTGTACCTTTGCAAAAGCTGCGGCTGTCATCTGCACCCTGCCTTCATCAGACGCGTATATCTTCAGGTCATGTCTGTAGGTGCTGTGTAACCGCAGTAACCCACAGCCTGGAAATCCAGCATAGTCTCCTATAAGAAGACAGAACCAACAACAATATCAGTGCATGAACAGACAGCCACCCTGCAGGTTAAAAGTTCACCATAAACCTGCAGCAAAAATGAAGTTCAGTGGATGTAGCCAGACAAAAGGACATTTTGTGAGTAATAGCCACAGTTTGGGACATGATGTCACCAACGTATTCGTATTCACTAACACTAACTGGGGATCTGATCTTTTATGAAACTCATGCTGGTATCGACTTCACACTACAACTGGCTGAACACTTTGTACCCCAGCTGCCACTCTGTGATGCATCTGAAATATCCTGAGATTGTTTGCCTTGCCTCATAACAGAGTGTCTCTTTCCTGGTCCAGAATTTCTTTGTTTATGTCTCCATTGTAACGTCTCATGTTCTCTGGTAAACAGCCTCAAAAATCCTTGTGTTAAAAGATGAATGCATCTTTATAACTTTTAAATCCTCATATTCCCTTGGCTTTGTTCCCATTTTCTTTGTAGCTGTGGTTCAATTTGTCACGCCATACCTTATTTACTTTGTTCAGAGTCACTTCTTTGATCTATGATATGTGCACACCTACTGTCCTAGAAGTAACCCACTGAGTTAAACCAGATTAGCTTGTTTATACAAGTTAATAAGGGGGTTAGCTAACGCAAGTACGTAATGAGAACAGCAGAGAAGAACAAGAGAAAGAGAGACAGAGAGATAGAGACTAAGTGTATTTGTGCAGCAAAGAATTTAACATAGAAAGTAATCTTAGAATAGAAAATAACAGAAATCATTTTATTACAGTAGTCACAGTATAATAACAGATTTTACACATTAAATTGAAACTTTAGCCTTTAACCATAAATACGATATTGATTTATGGGGACCTTCCACTGAAACCCAAAACACCCAGTATAATGGTCTTTTTGACCCACTTTTCATGTCCCTCCTCTCGCCTCTCACTCTGACCTTATGTGGATCAGTGGCTGTTCAGTGTGGTGGCAAAATAAGCAATTCAAAGCCTCTTAAATATGAGGCTAGAGCCTCTTAGTAAGGAGTGAGAATGGTGGTTTGTATATGTGGATGTTTCTCTGCTTAACACTTTCCAATGTATATGTTGCTGATACTTCAACTGTTCACAGATCTCTCAACAAGTTCATTTTTCCCATTACCAGCTGGGTGCTTGTCCATTATACCTGTTTTCAAGACAAAACTAGAGACCATCTCGCAATTGGGTCACGCTGACCACGTTGCCTGTAAACATGTTGACGTTCTGACCCATGATTACTCTGTAATTAATACAACATTACATTATTACTGAGCACTCAGGGGTCAGACGACACCCATCTTCAAACTCTGCCTTCATTTTGATCTCAACTACACACCTGTGAAATTTCGTGACCGTCTCTTGCAGTTCTGATGATATCACTTTGACAAAATATGTCCACAGACAAACAAACAGACTGTCGCAGCTCTGTAAATTAATACCAATATGATCCTAGAAGGGCAGGTGGCAGCATGAGGAATCAAATACTACATCACATTGTTTCAGCAATAAAACACTTTGTGTCTCACCTTGTCCTCCAGGGTACATACAGCGGAAGGCCCTTCCCAGCTCCTCAGCTTGCACTCTGCCAGCAGGAGTCAGCTCCCCCCCCCACTTCAGCACCAGCAGCAGAGATGGGCCCTCCTTACGTGTGTCTGAAAACAAAATCCAGAAGAAGGCAGTCAATAGTCACTTCAGGCTTTTGGCCAGCTTGAGCATGGCAAGATATTGTTGTGAGTAGAAGGTGAATTGCCTTTACCTTCTTCCTCACTGGAGGTTTTGGGCTGCCCATGGGGCAGGTAAGTTAGTTGCACTTTTCTGTTGATCCCCGAGAAGTGGCCATACCTTTATTAGCATTATAAAATAAAACATATTTGGAATCATTAAAAAATAAAGCTCTTTATGAATAAACATGGTTGTATGCCTTCTTCTACCTCCGTCAAGTTAATACGGGCCTGCCATTACCCGTCTATGATGACTGCTAACATTTATGGTTTTGATTAAAGTAAAAACAGAACCAACATGTGCATCTAAATACAATGATCTGTCATATTGTGCATGAAATTCCTCAGACACACATGATGCTGTTACAGTGTCTGGGTATAGAAATGGTTTGAGAAAGACAATGGCTTTAACTTCTCTGTGTGGAGGCTGTTTACAGTTACAGTGTGCACTGCAGCCACAACAAACCAGACGCTCTTACAGTTTTGTATGTCAGATGGTGACCTTTTAAAAACTTGTTTTTCATTGGCATAGGACGAGGCCAAATACAAACACTGTGCAGACCACTTTTTAGAAATCAAGGAGAACACTGAGTTTCTGAGAGTGTCCTAAGTGTATATCATTTACCCAGCTAATAATATTTTAATAATAGTTAATAATAATACTTTTTAGAGTAGACTTAAGCACACACTGGAGTTATAGTTTGGTTTCAACATTTCTTAAACCACCATTATGAAAATTTTAAATCTGCAATTCATTTTTGAATCATGGTTTGAAACTATCTGCTAAGATGACCCAGAATTAATTAGCTGAATATTAAATGGGGAATTAATGGCTAATAAAGTGACCCAGTTCCCTCACTACTTACATTTCCAGAACAGTCTTCAGCTGCTCCAGTTTGGATTTCTTCTCCTCTATCTCGCAGTCATTGTGTTGTCCTAGTTCTGCTAACAACTGCCGTGTGATGTCCAGCACCTCCTGTTGAGGTTCAGAGCAACAAGCTGTCAGAGACGTTACAGGTGTTCACACAAAGTTAATCACACACAGACTGGGAGGCATGCGAGTTACAATCTAAAACAAACATAACTATTCCTATGTCGGACTTATTGTTACCTGCAGTTGTTTTGGCTTCTTCAGCTTTAGTTTCCCTGTTTTGTATCCTCCATATTTTTCAAACAGATCAAAGAACCTGGATGAATCAAAGAATAATTTCAATTTAATAAAAAGCCTTTTATCTGTCATAGTATAAAGGAGGGCAATAATACAGTGACAGCATACATGGGGTTGCGAACTTCCATCTTCATCTTCTGTTTAGGCGTTCTGTCTCCATGTCGGATGACAGCAATGACACAGCGCAGCTCCATCCTGAAGTGGAAGTTTGAGGAGAAACAGTTTCCTTGTTAGGTTTGTTTCTTGACAAAACGCATGGACCTTGATTACAAACATCTTGATGAATTGTATTTTTGGTCTTTCACTTTCTACTGCAATGACTCACATGGTCCCTGAAGTGGTGGGAACAATGGGGATGTCCTCTGCCTCAGTAGGGATGGACCAAGGAATCTGAAACTGAGGAGCCAGCTCACGCATCACGATGTTCCTGAGGAGCCATGAAGAGACAAACATTCATGCATTCAACATTCAAGCTCCAGAGAAAATAGTCCAGTGGACAAGGAATGACAAGAACTGAAGATGGTACCCGAGGATCTTGGCACAGTCATCATAGTACTTCATTGAGTTCTTCACGAAACTGAAACCGTTGACATCACACACATAGGAGTGTCCATTGGCTCGAAGAAGGTCGAAGCCACAGACAGTTTGCTGCATTGAGAGGAGAGGAGGACACATTTCTGTCAGTGATGTGGAGACGATGTGCAACAGTATCAGTCCACAATGGAAGAATAAGTTAAGTGGTATAAAGCAGATTTACCTTGAATGCTAAGCAAACTTTACGGGCCACCAGTTTCTCCATGGCTGAAAGCATGACAGGGTAGCGGACCTCCTTGCCCTCGCTGTCTCTCTCCACCTTCCCGTCCAGAGCTGGGGACTTCCGGGCCTCAGCATGAGCATAGTCCGGCCCCACAGTGTACACCTGAGGCCACCAGACATCCTCTCAATCACTCTCATTTTAAATGTTGATCCTGAAGGTCGCACTGACTACATTACCATATCAAACATTTCTTTCAACCATATCCTCAATGTTACTTGACATTGAAACACAGGACTCTGAGATACAATTAAAAACCTATAGGTTTGTGTCATGGCCACTGGTTTTAATTATTTGAACTTTGTTTCAACATGTTCATCATGGTGTAATGCTCTAAATACTACCAGACTCAAGAGCCTCAAGGACCAGGAAGAAGAGGCCAGTCAGAGCAGTACCAAATTCAAAACACTTCATCGGTGCAGTGGGGAACAAAATATTGTTGCCATGGTTGCTGAATTCATTCAAAACATACCTTGAATAGGTGATATTAGAACTGCACTTAATAAAATTCTAAGCTCAGTGATTGGATGTTTCTTGATGAAATGCATCATGGCAGTCATAGAAACACCCCCCAAGTTTATGTACACAAGCTTGTAACTTTGTCTTTCTATGAAAGAACCAGACATTTTGTAACACAGTTGCTAATCATTTGGACAGCTGGCTCCAGAAGCGTATAACACTGTCTATGGGTAAAACGAATGGGACCTTCACTTTCAGAACCACATAAGTTCATTATGTCCCTTTCAAGTGTCTCATATTCCATTTCAGAAATGAGTCACAGCAGTTTCCTTCATAATAATCAATTAATCAATTCTCTACCTTAACATCGGTTCCATCTGTTGGCATGAACTCTTCATAGATGTAAGAGCCAGTCTTCCTCACACTGCTCTCTGGAGAGTACACGCTGCTCCGACTCCCAATCTACACAAGTCATAGAGGGAAAACACCATCACAGTCTGAGTTAAAGGTTGCAGCTCTATGTTTGACAACAGTGAGCCAGATTTATTATAATGTTTTTCCTCTGGCACAGCAATAGACTCATGTACCATCACAAGAAGAAGCGATTAAGTGATGCAGGTTTGTTTTAGTCAGTTGAGTTGATTAGTAGTTGCCATTACTACTAAACAGATTAAAGGAAAGTGCACATTCAAAATGTCAGAACAGCCCTGGGGCTGTAACACTTTCCAAATATAACATGAGTGCTGTTACTTCAGACACACAAGGGCACTTTGATAGGGAACAGAGGGGCTTGAGCCTAAAAGTAAATTCAGATCAAAGTTAATGAGTCAAAATCCTAAACTGGAATGAAAGGATATACAACTAAGAATTAGTATAATCGTTATTATGGTCTGACAGTGGTTGTTGTGGCAACAGTTCACTGGTGTTGAAAGAACAATTTAAACATTTTGCAGTTCATATTGAAGTTTGAAAAGTTTTGTACTTAGCTGCCATACTAACTTGCAGTTGGAGAAGTGTTATGGTCAGGAATTATAGACTGAAGAAAGAAGCTATAAGGGTAAAAGGAAGGACCTTTCTGAAGAGGCGCTGACTGCCACCACCAGCAGAGGTGGGGTAGTAGATGTAGACATTGTGGTCCTCAGCGCAGACAGGCTTCTCAACAAAAGGCTTCTGGAATATCTCTCCGTTCACCTCCACATGGTCCTCTCCTTCCACCAGGTTACACTCTGAGAAACACACACACACAGAAAATGTTTGTGTTTGCCAGGAAGCCCCTTTTCAGTATCACTGATGATTTATAGACAATGTTTGACCCCTCAGTGTTTATTCTTGAGCCCTGTGAAGCAGCTCTGCACTCTGAACCATGTGAAGTTCATTGGTCATTTTAAAAACAGTCATTAGAGATGTAAAACATCTGATCGCTCATCAGTTCAGGGACTGTTGCTACGTCACTGTGTAAAAACAGCATTTAAATGCCAGACCCATCATATCACAGCACTTAAGTATGGGACACTTGCAACTGCTTCACATTTGATACTATATTTATCCACAAGCTGAAATAAAACCAATGCACTCTTAAATGAATGGATGCTGCATGGACAGGGGCTCTAGGGCTGTTTGTGTGGAGTGAATGTAGTCTGCACGGTATTGTCTTTTCCCTATGTCAAGTTAGGAAAGTGTAGGAAAGTACAAAGATACATCAATAAGAAGCGACTTATTCATTATCAATAGCAGACTGACCATCTGGTTTATCTGGGTCACGGTTTAGCACAGCATAGCGTGGTAGATCAATCCCCTCCTCCTGCAGGATGCGATACACCTCTCTCCTGTTAAAAAATAAAATAACAAACATATCAATAAGTAAACTATGATTTGTGTATTCTCAAGCCTCACTTTGCTTTGCATGCATAATTTCAATGGATACTGGAATATAGAGTTAAGGTATTTCAGATTACCTGTCCTGTATGTAGTACTGCATGTTCAGGTCATTGATAAGCAGCGGGTTTCTGAGTTTGGCGTAGCTCACTGCCTTATCCAGCGGGAAGCCTGGTTTACATGCAGAGAAACATTTCAATAAGTAAAGCTCATGGCTCATAGCTGTTGGGGAATTCAGGTTCAGAGTTATGCCTAGTGAGACATTGTTAGAAAAAACACAAACACTTCAGACAGACTCACAGAGGCAGACAGAATAAATCTATTCGACACATAATGCTGGCATTGTATTACAAGACAGGCACTCCATTTAGTGTGTAAATGGTCAGGCGGCTGATAAGAAGCCCACATGATCAGACAGGCTATAAACAGAATGAGTAACATTCATCTGTGCATTTCTGTCGGGAACATATTAAACTGACTTCATACTTAACAAATGGAAAAACACAAAAAGCACTGTGGGTGTATTGTCATTTTGTCTGTGTGCATGTATGTATTTGTGTGTGTTTTACCTTTGGAGTGGAAGGAGATGAGGCAGTCACACAGAGGCCATTTGTCCACAGGCTCATTGAGGATGACGTCCTCTGGGAAGATGACCACAGTGATGTACTCAAACCTGCACAGCCTCTCCAGGATCTGGGTCATTGGCTTGGACTTGGACTTCTTCATCATGCAGCAGATCCCCACCATGATCTGTCGCTCCGGGGGCTGAAGAGGGAAGAGGGGAAGGAGAGCAACACTTTAAAAGATCTGTCTGCGGTTAGAAGAAATAAAAACAATGGTAGCTGTGTTCATACATGTGCTCATACTGAAGAACTGAACATAAAAATGGCTAAACTGTCTACATCAACATACATCCGGTAAGGTACTGTCACTGATTTTCTTGGACCAGCAGCACACATTATCAATTGACAAAAACAAATAATTACCACCTCATGGTTGTATCCCTTCACCAACCAGCCAAGTTGCAGGAAATATGTTCACAAGCTCCTCTTCCTGAGTTACAAGAATAATGGCCAGAAGTGCTTTGCAGAACATTGTGATGTCACAGTGAAGTTGACCTTTGACCTTTGGATATAAAATGTTATGACTTCATCATTTTATCCTTATAGTCACCGTGACCTTGACCTTTGATCACCAAAATCTAATCAGTGCATCCTTGAGCCCAAGTGTATTTTGTGTAAAACTAGAAGAAATTCCATCAAGGCGTTACTGAAATATCATGTTCACAAGAATGGGATGGGCATACAGACAAACAACCCAAAAACATAATGCCTCTGGTCCTAGCTGTCACCAGTGCAGAGGCATAAAAATATACCTCTAGAGTAGAGCAGCAGGACAAAGGAGGAGGTGACTACATGTTGTGATCCATCATTGTATTTAAAATAATTTAATCTAAAATACAAGTAAAACTGAAACCAACACAATAAGGTTGGGGGAAGGTGAGCAATCAGAGCTCTGACCTGTTGACTTTATATACTGATTTACAATAATCAGGTTACTTCAAAGCATGTTATCACCTGGTTTCTCTGAGTAACCCAGTTACTGAAGTGCATGTAAATGATCTGGTCTTGGTCAAAAGCACAATAGACACTAACCTTATCCGTTGAGCTCTTTTAAGAAAACAATGGTGTGTTTGAGGATTCTTTTCAAGTTGTTCATAGACATTTTCATCATTTCACTCAACAAGTGAAGTCACCATGGCTGCAGGGGTGGCTAGTGTTAACTAAAAGCCCTCTACTGGTGATTCATCTGCATGATATCATTCACTATTATAATCTGACATTTTTGATGTGATATACTACCAAAGTTCCTCCTGCTAGCATGATAGCTACATGAAAGAGCAAATTATCGTAAAGAGATTTTGACATTGTCTCCCACCGAGTCTGTGTCTTCATCGTCCTCATACAGCTCCATGTCTGTCCTCATGCTGTCCTCCAGGACCTCGCTCTCATCGTCCTCGCAGCCCACGAAGAATCTGGGAGCGCCACGCCGGCTCTCGCCCGGGCTGTTGGGCTCTGACATCACAGTCCCCCGCGGCAGCCCTCAGCGTCCCACCGCGCCATCGTACACCAACACACCGCCGGAGCGGGCCGCCGATGGGAGGGCACGAGGCCTGGGAAACGGGACAGGTCCACTCTGCCTGGGCTGGACAGCAGACCCGGTAGATGAAGGTGTGTGTGAGGCAGACGAGCAGGATTAGACGGAATGAGCGGGGCTCAAACAGAAGAGGATACGTGTGAAATGATGATGCTGGTCAATCCTCTGCAATAACGTTGTTACTCAAGTTCCTCATTCTTCATTCACCAAATTCACATCTCATATGACCTGCTTGGGTTTCTGACGAGCCCTCAGCAAATTGGAGGCTGAAGCTCCAATTATCTGATGACAGTCCTTTCCTCCATTTGTATGCAAGAGTCCTACAGTCCTACAAGAGAGACAAAACATTCACCATTATTTATGCACTCTTGCTTCATGTTTTGTATTATTCATTTGCATTGCCCCATAATAAAAGTTACAGTGTCACAGCTCTGCACAAGAGCCATATCCAACCATATCATGTGTACTCCTCATTGTTTACATGTGGAACTTGGGATATGTGGAAAAGAAATTATATATGCTGGTGTATTTTACCAGACTGTTGAGAAGGGCTTAATGCAATATCGTCAAACAAAATATATTAAACCCCTGAAAGCCATACAGACAGGTAAATTGTTTTGGATAATGTTAGTTAGACTCAGGCTGCACCTGGCAGGTCCAGAAATATTCTCAATTATTGTCAACTTTCTGCTGGTTCATGCCTCTCAAATGTGACATTTGATGCTTTTCTTTGTCAGACATCACAGCATTTTCTGACATTTCATGCATGAAAAAAATGTAACTAATCAAAAAAAAAAAAATCATAAGATTAATCGGTATGAAAATAATCCCTAGTTGCACTCCCGAAAAAGATAAAGCAATGAAAGAGAAATACAATTCTGTATGAATCCTTGGCATCCAATTGTTTTGCGAAAAGGGAATGAGAAATGAATCCAGACAGAATTAAAATCAATACAGAGAATCACTAATTGAATCTCAATTGATCTTTGTTCAAGGGTGGCCGAATGGTTTCTTTCCAATACAGTCTCATTATGTCAACCTGTGTGGGTAATTTTTGGTCTTTCACCTGCACAGTAAAAAAAGAACACCATGTTCAGCCCTGCAAATGTCAGCCAATACACAGTCACTTTAAGCAGAAATGGCCTTGTGCTTGAGCAATAATTACCTCCAGCACTTACTCTACTGTTAGACATTTAACCCTGACGCCGCAGTCAGCAGCAGGGGCATCAGCTCTGCTCTGCATTTCCATCACCACTAAACACTAGTCAGTCATGGAGACATGACAGGCAGCGGACAAGTCATACTGTAGGCAAACAACAACTACTCATTGCTCTCTGGCATGCTACAAGACACCCATCTGAACAACAAACACTTCACCATCAGGAACAGTCACTCAAGGGTCAAGACTGACTATTTACAGTGGAAAATATTGTTATTAGCATCAACAGCCTAGATGGGGTCCAAATAAGATAATAAACAAACTCATAACTGTCCAAAGCCTTTGGGGATCTCAAGCTGAGGAAACACAAATAAGACCAAGTTCCCTCTACACATTTGGTTGTTTATTTTAAGTCCCAATGACCTAAAAAGTGAATGTCTTTGGGCTTTGGACTGTTGGTCTGACAAAACAAGCAAACTGAAGATGTCAGCTTGAGCTAGGAAATGATGGGCATGTTTCTGTTTTTTGACATTTTATAGATAAACAATTCATCAAGAATATATTCAACACATTATTCGAATAAAAATAATCATCAATTAGAGCCCTTTCCTAAACAGATGAACTTACATTCATTCAAATTAATTATTTGTGTAGCTGCAGCAATGGTTAGGCCCTATACTGTCTTTCACTAATTAAATATTCTTGGGAAAGTGTCATTAAAAGGATGAAAGGGGATACGTAGGAGACAGTAACAGTTGTTTTTGATAACTGTATTTGTGATGATGTCATCTTTCCATTTAAATATAGTTATTACTAGAGTATCACACCTTGATGCCCTAACCAACATTTATGGCAATGGAAATAAAAAAACAGGGGTTCATTTGGGTCACGTCTGTGGCTGTTTTTTTTTTTTTTTTTATGTTTACCTGCTGCCTGGTACAGAAACTCATTCTAACTCCTATTTTGGGGCTGGGTTGATTCAAAACAAACTCTTTCCATGCCTAAGTGGATTAGTGTTTTAGAGCTTGAGCATAACAGTTAATCTCTTCTATTACACCTGCTTACTCAGGATACAAACAGGCCCATAGCTCCCACTGTGGACTCTGAGGTCATGTCCTCTTTATTTTTTATAGGACTTTGGGGGTTTAAGTGACTAACATTTAACAACAGTTAACATTCTACAATTTCATGCTACACAAGCCTGTTGTAGAGTGAAAACCCTGCATCTTCATTATGCTAACTTTTAAGCAGCAAAAAAACATATCATATTTTGACCTTGAACCAACCCTGGGAGGGTTTTAATAAACCTAAAAGAAAGGGGAATTTTGTCAAGAGGAAACTGTAACCGTTCACATGATTAGACGACATGAAAACCAATTAGGGCTGCAGCTAACAGTTCTTGTCATTATTAATTTATCTGCTGAGTATTTCCTAGATTAATCGATTGATTGTTTTGTCTATAAAATATCAGAGAATAGTAAAAAAAAATCCATCAATGTTTTCTAAAGCAGAAGGTGATGTTTTGTTTTCTCCGACAAACAGTACAAAACCGTATTTGACAATTTCAACTGTATAAAAAGAGAGAAGGGCAACAAATCTTAACATTTGCAAAGCTTAAAAAATTACTTAATGATTCATTGAATGTCAAAATAGATTGTAGATCCACTCTCTGTTGATCAATTAATCAACTAATTGTTACAGCTCTAAAGCCAAACTCCAATTTACAAGTGGAAGTTTACTGAAGTTCAACAATGAGACCGGTAAAGGCTACATTTCACTGAAGTCCAGCCTCTTCTCTCACCTTTGCTCTCGCACTTTGTTTCATCTATGTAATTACTGCCTGTGATTCTAGCTCTCTATTGCACCTCTTTCCACTTTCTCCCACCTCTACCCCACCTTGAACTCAATGACTCAGGACTCCTTGCTGGGGCAGGCTCAGAAGCCTACTGCAGAGCACCCAACTAGGATCTTATCCAGTGGAGCATGAATCGGTGCCAGAACTTGTTTCAATAAAACTATTCATCATCTCATTCATGGGTGTCACAGCCTTGTGCAGTCAAAGTTTATAGATGACATTAAGTTTCAAATACTTTTCACCCAACAGTAAGGCCACCTAAATAGACTTGCAGATTGAAGTGTGTGTATGGACATTAATTTATTGCAAGATCTTGATTTCTAGATGCCACATGCCTATAGTAACGTGCATGCTCTCATTTCTTCAATTTAAAGGCTGATAGCAATAATTTCTCAATTGCATCTTGGCATTTGATTCGTTTTAGAGAATAAGCAGACTGAATAAAGAATTCAATATTTCTACTACTTGCAGAATGTAGGAGGCTATTAGAAAACAGCATCTATATCACTCAGGTATACTCTAATGCCTTTAAATGACCAGTAAAATTCAAAATATCATAAAATAACTATGTTCAAGGTTGCAACTAATGGTGACTTTTTATTTATTAACTGACTGATTATTAAAATTTGTTTTAAATTCAATTATTAATTAATTGATTGTCTATAAAACATGTTCACTTAAGATTCTTATCCATCACACAATACCATCAGAAAGCTGTCTGATAGGTCCCATAAAGAACTATCTTCCGAGATGGAAGAACAGGGAGTCCTGCAACAGATGGTCTGGCCCCCACAGGGCCCTGATCTCAACATCATGGAGTCAGTCTGAGATTACACGAAGAGACGGAAGACACTGAGACAACCTAAATCCACAGAAGAACTGTGGCAGGTTTCCAAGATGCTGGAACAACCTGCCTGCCAAGTACCTTTGAACTAAATTAACGGATAAATAAAAACTATTCATGCTTTTATTTTTGAAAGCTTCTCACTTTACTTACATTGGCTAAAACATTTATACAGTAATGTGTATATATATATATATATATATATGTGTGTGTGTGTGTGTGCGTTTATTATGTAGTGTGTCCAGATAATATAACTTCGCTTGGATGATCTGAAAGCAACACATCTCAACTGCACGAATAAATTGGTGCGAACTACCTGGAGAAAAACACTAACGTTATAGCAGCACGTGATTTTCCTATTGGAAGTGGGCCTGACAGGTTTAAGTGTAGGATTTTAATTTACAAGGCAGGATGTTAATGCAGCAACCAGGGTTAACGATGACCTCCACCTGAGACTAATGTTTATTATTTACGTTACATTGTTACTTTGCAGTTGCAGGTACGTTATCGTTATGTTCAAGAATATAGCAAAGGGGTGTCAAAATACAAAGACGCAGATACAGTATATAAGCGTGAATCACAATAATAAGACAATTTAATGGTGATATTACATGCAAAACGAATCTCGTCGGCCCTACTTCGTTATTTGGCGAGGAAATTACCGTTAGCGCCCGTTAATTTTGCCAGTATAAAACACATTTAGCTGGTGTTAGCCACTGTTAGCATTCAGCTAACTGGTATCCCGGCTATGTAGACAGGTCTTCCAGGGCCTGCATTTGAAATAAATACCAAATATCTGTGCTGTTATTCGTGTTAACGCTTAAGACTGGACGTGTGTCAGCGGTATTTCCATTACTTGAGAGAGACATTTAATCATGAACTCACAGTGTAGCTGGAGGGCTTCTGTCGCTACCATCAGCTCGCTTCCTTTACTCCTGACAGTTTGCCCGTGAAACCAATCTTAATTTTTTCTGTTTGACGCACTGATGACGAACGTACAAAATAACCAATGGGGGAATAGAACGTCTTCACGAAGGCGTAGCCCAAAAAAATAACACGAGCCAATAGGCAAAGACCCGTGGGGGGAGGGAGGGGATTAAAAAAGAGAGGGGAAGAGCGTTAGCGCCCTCTAGCGTTAGTTTTGAGACTATCGAGGAGGTACTTACAGTACACGCTTGTACAAGCAAAGTAACAGTTTATTCAAAATGTTTAAAACGTAACTTTACATTACTATCACACAGTGAAATCACTATATCTAGACACGAAGACTCGATTTTCATAATTACAAGACACTGATCACCTGGAGTTTTATTGATTACATTATCTTTCACAGCTGATTCACAGCTTTTTAGGCACTGCATGTATATACTGTTATACGATAAGTATAGGCTATACATGGTGTAATTGATTCATATATTATATGGTTCGTGCAAGTTTAATTCTTCCGCAGTTGTTCACGTTGTAGCATATAATGAAAAAAATCCAGTTTAGTAGGTATTGCCTAATTTCGTTGTCCTACTTGTGCTAAATGCAAATGTATGTTGACGTTTGTGAGCTAGTTCTTCATTAGCCGATGCTGCCTCAAAACGCTGTTAACGTTTTTCGTGTGTTATTGTTCCACTGAATGAAGACGTGCAATTCAATTCAGCGTACCAAAGCGTCAGTTTGGTCGATTATCCATCTTTTATATACAGTCTATGCTAAAACCCCTAAACGATGAACAAAATTATTTTCAACGAGTCACTCTACAACTTGCCGAAAGCTACAATGGCTGATGTCAACAGAATCGAGAAATGTTTTCATTAACATCAAGTTCTAAACTTGAGAAAGGCTACAAGTTCTTTGTCGAAAACTACTTAGCATTAGCATAAGCAGTTAGAATTAGCATTAGCAGCTAGCTTACTGTCATTGTTCATTGATGAATGAATTTAATGATTTCATTCTAACGTTGCAAAATAACGTGTGTGTGTGTGTGTGCGTGCGTGTGTGTGTGTGTGTGTGTGTGTATGTGTGTGTGTGTGTGTGTGGGGGGGGGTAAGCATTAGCAGCCGGCATTAGCACCTATCTTGCTGAAATTGTCCATTGATGAATGAATTTAACAATTTCATTATAAGATTGCAAAATAACAAAATGTAATAAGGTGACTGAGAACTTTCTAAATGCACTGTATGTCCAGCTGATTGATCTGTCCAACAGCGATCTCTAGTGTTCTTTCCTAACAGGTGCTACCCACCAGGGAGTTTCTCTAGGATGAGGTGTAATTCAGGCAGAGTCTATGTTGTTTCAGCTGCTTTTACACCTCTGTTGTGTGTGTGTATTAAATTCACACACAAGTATCAACAATTAAGTATTAACATTTGAAACCTTTCTCTGTCTCTCTCTGTCCACATCCAGGACACATGGAGACACAGAGGCGCCACCTCAGCTGCATTCAGGATCCACCAGGTGTGCAGCTGTACACAGAGGCTGGTAGGCTGACAAAAGGTGGGGTCAGCCTGCCGGTTTCCACCTTAAACAGTTCATCCCAGGTACATGCGTGTGTCTCATAGCTTGTGATTAGGTATGTTGTGTATTATCATTTCATGCAAACATAAAATTCATTTTTGGTCCAAAACCTTTTTCCTCAAGACCTGCCAGACAGAGCTGGACAAATAGTGAGTTGTCTTCCCTCCCAGATACCAGGAGAGGCAACTTGGGGTACAGTTCAACAGCGACGGGGAAGAACACCTCCTGTTCTGGGAAGGAGAGTCTCCAGAGGTGAGATTCATTTCAAATATCACTGTTTCCTCTAATGAATATCATATCTATATTAACACACACTGCTCTCTATGATTATCTTTCAGCTGTTTTCTTGGACTGAACTCGGGCCCTGCAAACTGGCCCAGTGCCAGCCGCCTGGTGGAGGCCATTTGCAACCAGCTTTACCGTCTTCAGCCAGTTGCCACATGGTCCAGAGGGACCATGAGGACTTGGTCGTCCCTCATCCTTAAGGAATACGTGGCCATTAGAGAGGCAGTGATGGCCAGCCCGAGGTTGATGGCTCAGACCAACATCCAGCTCTTTGAATTGAATTGAATCGAATTGAGAACTCAGTGGTTAGAGTTTGTCATAAAGCTGTGTTGGTGTGTTGTAATCTGTACTGTGATTTATCTTTTAATGAAAGCTGGAAATCCTCAAACAGTCTGTGTTTGTCTGTGTGTTCCAGGTGCTGGCCAGTCTCTCCCTTCAGCAAAGGGTCTGTCTTTGGTACAGGTGGGACAAGGACAGCCCTTAAACTTCAATGTCCCAGAGGAGCAGCCTGAGCCCTCCAGCAGGGGTCTGCCTTCTCCTCCTCCTCCTCCTCCTCCTCCTCCTCTTCCTCCTCCAGACAATGAACAGCCTGGCCCCTCATCCAGTGCTGTTGGTCTTATAGCTTACATATTTTCAGTTAATTGATTCTGCGTATTTCTGTACAGCTTTCAGGAATATCAACCTGACTTGCACAAATGTAGGCTACACTTATGGATGGGCTACTGTATGGGCCAAGCAGGTATGGGCCCAGGGACCACCTCAGCCTCTTTATGAAGTGACTGCTGTCATGTTTTGTCAGAAAGTCAAACAACCAAAATCAGATGCTAAACAGTCACCACGAAACAAAAAACAACTATGAAGGGATGCAAGACAACCGCGAAGAAATACAAAGCAAATACAGAGAGATATTAAGAAGCACGAGGTGACTACAAAGAGGCACAAAACAACTACAACGAGATTTAAAACAACCACAAAAAGACCGCTTGACAAAAATCAGCACAAAGAGACACAAAACAACTATACAGACATAAAATGACCATACAGTCTATTCTATAGAGGAACCATTTCATATTTGTCTGACTTTCGAGGTTCCCGTCTCATATCACCACTGAAACCGACCAAAACTGGTGTAAACCTATGGACACTAGCCGAGGTAAGTGTTTCTACTGCTCATCTCTGCTACCACAACCATCTCTTGCTCATGAAGCCACTACAACGACAAACACCACCGCTGGTACACTTCAGGGACTGTGCTGTAGAAATCCAGCAACAGGAAGATTTGAGATGGTTTTCCTACTTGAACTAAGCATCTTTTAAAAGATCACGCCGCCCTCCTTCAGCAAACTGCCGACCTGCTGCTGCCGTTGATGTAAGAGTCAACACTGACGTCAGAATGTCTCTGAGCTTTCCTGTGCAGACCAGACCCTGTTTGACCACCACGCCACCCTGTCCATTACATACCTGTGTGCAGGCCAGCTGAGGCTGTTGCCGCTGTGAACTTCGCAGGGTCACAGTGCGCCACTATACTGCTTATGAAAAGGGTATTTTATAAACTGAAGGGTGAACAGAGAGGCTAACAAGGCTCTTCTATAGTCATACTGAACATGGAGAAGAGAGGGCACACCCACTTACCCAAATATTGTCAGGATGAAAATAAAAATACCTTTTACCTCAGCATTTTTTGAAAATAATAAGGTACAATTTATTCTTAAACTAACTGAAAATATGATGTATGTGTTACATCACATAGGCTTTTATGCACTTGAGGTATACGAGGTGAAGAGGCAGCGTTTGTCAGATTTTCAGTTGAATGTAAATGACCCCGTCTTCTTTTTCATTAAACCTCTAGCTGTTCTCACAAAGACCCTCAGTGAAGAGGCCCTCTTCTGCCTACCACCCTGACATGGCTTCCATTTGCCAGAGTCAGGGGTGTTACAGTCTCTGCGACTTACAGCAACAGGTCAGACCAGGACAAGGTTCCTCATTATAAATGCAGTTCCAGTTTCTGCTTCTGGATGCTTTGGTCTGTGGGCCCCTGCAGGAGTTGGTGGGCTCCAGACTGTAAAACATTATCAGCAACTTATCCCAGCTCTGGCTGGCTGTTCATACCGCCAGGTTGTTTCTTAAACCACCCAACTGATGAATGCGGAAGGCAGCCATGTGGATGAAGTAACAGCTGGTTCAGCTGTAGGTTATAAGGTGTGGCATGTGGAAATTTCCACATAAGGGTAAAGTAAGTGTTTGTAACGTGCATTTGTGCGTACCAGTCCAGAGCTGTGGTTTTTGATATTAAAGTATACATCTGGTCATTTTCTACATCTTTCTCATTGTCACTGAATTCCACAAAAAGACAAAAACCAACAATGAATTGATCCTACTAGCAGGTATTTTTTGTATATATCTTATTCCTCTGTGCCATAGACCTCCATCTACTGATGTTCAAAAACTATTAAAAACATGAATGTTTCTTAGTTATGCTGAGCTTGGGCCCTGTACAGTATTTTGACTCTGTCCCACATTCACACATACTACACTAGTATTTCAATTTGTGTTGATTTTAATATTATATATATTTAATATAAGGATATTGTTCTGTGCTTTACTTTTTTACAGCTGCTGGAGGTTTTGTGGACTCTCTCCACAGTGTGATCTACTGGCTACTGAGCAGCTCCACTGCTTTCCTTTTGTTTGGTGCATACTATGATGACTGAAGAGTCATGAAATGGCTTGACAAAACTACCCATCAGGTAATGGCTTCAATACATCATTTTGTCCCGAAAATCGGTGGTTGAAAGTTGCTTTGACAGCATTTACAGCTTTATTCATTTTTAGTGTGGATATGACCTGAGATTTCTAAAGGGCAGCTGAGTGTTAGAGAAAAGTTGAAACAGCTGACAAATAAACTTTTTTGATAAACACTGCAAAGATAAATCCACATACACATCTTAACAGGATGTTTTCTCATCTGAATCAATTTTTAACAAACAGATATTTGGCTCATAAGATGCATTGAAACACAAAAAAACACCAATCAGGTCGATGTTTGTTTTATCCCGTTTCATTTTATTGCTACAGTATCCCACACATTTATCTCAAATTTGCATCTTCTTCATGTGAAGTTGTGTGAAATTCCACTTCGTTAACCTGCAT